TTTTTTTTTTTTTTTTTTTTTTTTTGAGACAGGGTCTCACTGTGCAGTTCAGGCTGACCTTGAGCTCACTTTGTAGCCCTGGTGGTAGGTAGCCCAGGGTGCTCTCGAGCCTCCCGAGTGCTGGGATTACAGGGGTGCGCCTCCACGCCTGGCCTTGCCAGCTTTTGAGTCCAGTTTTAAAGTTCTCGTCTTCTGGTTTCGTGGCTGCATCCCCTGCTCTTGGTCTCCTCCTTCCCCTTGATCCAGCAGGGATGGCTTCTGGCCTAGGATTGCAGAAGGATGACCGAGGCAGGAGGTAGTTAGGACTCATTCCAGGCCAGCTTCCGTCAGGTCACTGAGGCTTCAGGCAGTTACTATACCTGTGTGAGCCTTGGATTGCACCTTTGAAAAGAACAGTATTGGGGCTGGTGAGATGGCTCAGTGGTCTAAAGCACCTACTTAGAACAAGCTAAGCTAAGCAAAGCACAGGGATCCCGCAGTTCGATCCCTCAGCACCACATGCCAGCCAGCCCCGCCCCCTGGTGGGCTGAGCTGGCCACACACACAAAATAAACAAACAAACAAAAAAAAGAACAGTATTAGAGGATGACTCTCTTGAGTGCGTTTTTCGGCTTGAATTCGTGGACGTATAGCAGACTCTTAGCATAGTGGATGTCCCACAGAGGGGGCTGACTCGCGTGTGGACTGCTGGGTAATTAGAGAACACATTCAGGTCGTTGATTCCTCTCATCATCCTGACATCACTGCCCTTACAGGTGGGGAGACTGAAGCTCAGGAGGAAAAGTTTCCCTTGGCCTCTATTACTACAGTGCATCTACCGTCACAAAATTGCTTTTGTTTAATTGACTGGCAGCCCCTTACCCCCTTTCCCAGGCCAGAGGCAGACAGATGTGTGGATATGCAAATAGAAGGCACTGTCTGCTGCCAGCCACCCTGCCTCTGCCCTGGCAGTGCTGGGGATTTCATCTGCAGAGCATGGCAGGAAGTGCCCGGTGTATGAAGCTTGCTTTTTTTTTGGGGGGGGGGCAAGTTCAACACACCCAGGCCCTGCCCTGTAGGAGTTTCCTGTTGGTTTTGAGGAACTGTCCCTGGAGAGGTGCAGACCTGCTTTAGTGAGGCAGAAATTCTTCCACAGATACCCTGAGGGTACAACCAGCCTCCAGGTTAGAGCAGCCTCTGCTGGGCTCCTGCTGCCTGCCTGAGGCACAGCCACCTCCTGCAGGAACCCACAGGAGGCTGTGCTTGTGTAAACCTGGGTCTGGTCCTTCTTGGACCTTCAGGAACAGGCTGACCCTGACTCATTTTCCTCTTGCTGTACCTGGAAGCCTTGCCCTGGCTCTTTTTGGAATGTTCCTTACAGTGAGCCAAGAGGAAGGTGAGAATGGATAAAACTCCCTGTGACCTGAGTCTAAACATGCTCCTTTGCAAGCAGTGACCTCAGGAGGGATTTGAAAGTGAAATTTCAGGCCTGACAGACTCAGTCTGTTCAGTGGAATCCGGCTCCTATGTCTTCACTTCTGTCCAGGGCTTTTGCCTCATCTGCCCCAATTCCCACACAAGCAGTTGGGGAAATCTGTGATCTTCATGGGAGTCCGCGGCTCAAGAGCACATTTGTCATCTTCCTTCTCCAAGTTAGCTAGGAAAACCAGGCGACCAGGGAAGAGTGTCCTGGCTGCTGAATGGCGCCTCTCACTCTACTGGCTGCAGGTAGCAATGGTAAGGATGTGTATGTGAGAGAGACAGCAGTGGAAACTGGGCCAGATGATAGGAGGAGGAGACCAAGCTGGACACAAGCCTCAGGTGTCCACCCCTCTATTGTG